GATTAGGAGAAATGTGTGAGTATTGGATCAAAGGAAAGGACGACTAAGTAGACGAAAATAAATGATATCTGTTAAACCAGAATTAGCGGAATCGGAGGACTCACACTTCACTGGGTGTTAGACCAGTAGAATTTGAGATATTTCAACAGCAGGAGGTAGGAGGAATAATTGAGTTTATAGTGACAATGATAATAATATTGAATGCCATTGTCAGAGAAGAATTTATCACGGTATGGAGCCACGAACACCGTTTTTTTATGAATACGCGTGTTGCATTTTAATCACTGAGCAGTTATCATCCCAAAAATATGTGGTGAATTCGATGTTGTGTATTTGCTAGATTAGCGTATTTGAGTTTAGTGAGTGAATTTCGTTGTCAAACTCTGCTGGATTATTGGTCATTACATAGTCGAACACTTGTGGACATTTCAACTGACAGATCCTTCAAGTATTTATGCATATACGAGAACAAAGTGGTCTTATGGGTCCTGTATGTGCCGATAAAAGTGCATGTTTACCATTGTATATATTCGGAGCTAACAGGAAACAATTACTTGTTGCCTTTCGACTGTCTCATTATCTAACTCATTCGCTCTGAATCCGCTTACCTTGTAGGTGAATAGGTGGTAATTTTCAGTATTTAATCCCGGCAGCATTGTGGTCTTTCTACTCGGGATTTCCGAGAACAGATCGATTCCTAACCGTATCGGCAGGGTACTGATATAATAATCTAGAGCCTGCTACTATTTCGTATCTTGTAGTGACCGATATTTCCTGATCTGAAAGATAAGATCATAAGATAATAAGGTAACCAGCGAAGTGGAGATTAGTCAAGACAAAATGATACTTAAATAACCAAAATTATGTTGATCACAAATAACACATCCTTGACATCAGTCGTTCCTTTTAAAGCACTAAATATCTCCCAGATAGAACCTCATTCGCCCATATGATTTTGCAATGCTTTTATTCGATCGTTGCTTTTGTTTTACTTTCTAGAAGTTCAATCAGTGACACAACTTGAACTTGATTTCTTTAGCTTTTATCAAACAAATGAAGAGGTTTTCCTACTTTAATTAGTGGTAATTAGGTTTTATAAAAGAGAAGGATTTTGCTTTTTATGGAAAAGGCTTTTCCTTTGATATAGGTAGTATACTCCGAGCACTGGGCGACTGATAAATATGTATTTATATAGATTTAAATGTGACTTCAGTGTGTATGAAGCGTCTACACTTGTATTGTCCGTCTGTGTGTGACCATCTACTTGTAGTTCAAATGGTCTTTAGCGAAGAGGGCGAAGTCTACGTGTTAAGTCAACACCTTGATCAATACGAAATACTCACTTTTATCTTTAACTAATTGTTTGTCCTTAACCTGACACAGTTTGAGCAAATCGCTTTCTTACAACAGTAATCTTCACTGTAATAATTCCTGATATTTGTGTATCAATTTATGGTGAGAAGGAAAACTATTGAAAATGAAAGAATAACACCATGGAGAGCTTTCGGATGACAATCAAGTGATACTTCCATCTAGGCGTTTTGACTTGGATGTTTGTTTTGAATTTGAGAATTGATCACACAGCATGCACCATCATATTTCAAAACTGCTTTAAGGAGTAGACAGAGGATAGTAAGAAAGAAACAAAGAAGGGGAAGGAAAGTGTTAAAATTGCCTAGCGTTAAAATATTAAAGTAAAGAAAGAATAAAATAAAATATTTGGTATTCATTGCATACCAGAAAGTGATAAGTATCACTGCAACGTCTTTTATCCCTAGAAATAAAAATTCAAATGAACAACTTGTTTTGGAAATAACCGACACAACTTCATGAGCGGTATATGTGCTTGTGGTCATGTTACAGCTGATCTTGTTAAGCGGGTCGGATATCCTAGTCTGAACATTTCTAGAATTTCACCTCAAACTGTGAGACCTGAAAATGAATCATTTCACTCTATTCAATTACCAGTTGACGCGATTAGCTAGTTAGCTGGCTAGTTGGAATTCGGGTGTTTTGAACTGATTTGACTTTCTGTACTGATTTATTCAATGTGCATTGAAGATAATCTCGTCCTCGAATTAGTGAAATAGTGTCGAAATGGCTGGCAGTCATTGTCATTTGACATGAGTGCTCTTCAACTACTGATATCAGTCAGCTTATGTTTACATATACATACACCTTGAATATTTCTAGTGTTTTAGGGAAAGTATAATAAAATTCCTTTTTTGATTGTGTATCGTCATAATACTTGATTTCATTGCACAGCATAAATATCTAGTGAGTGCACATAATATTGTGACTGCATCCATTGTACTTCTAAATAAGGTATTTCACTTTTCTTTAGTGTCTCCTGAGCACAGAGATTAAAACCGGAGATAAATGTTCAAAGTAAACGAGAATCTGAGAAAAATAACTTTTTATTCTTACAACAGTCGATAACAATTATTTTCTAGATGCACCTCAACCTGTACAAATCTCACCAGCCTTAAAACGAGGAGCTATTTTGTTCATTTGTTTTACATTCACTCTGAATATCTTTGTTTCCCATTGCAAATTGTGTAGACGTATCTGTACTGACTTATGACACGAAAAGTTTTTATCGTAATACTTTTTTATCAAAATGTGGTCGAGTATAATTCAGTTCAATTAATTTTTTATCGTATGGTTCATAATGTAGTTGTCTAAATTTCTGTTTGTAAATGGTTTTAAGTCACAGCTGTTCCCTCAGAAATTCTAAGATTGAGGATTAGATTTGAATTTTATTTTGATTTGTCATTAACTTTTGAAGGTTGATCCACGGATTTTCTATAATAAGTTCCCCTATGCTTCAGTAGGTTTTTCTACATATCCCTGCTTGTGTTAGCATCGTATCTCGATGCGATGGTGGTTTAATAACATGTTCTTTGTTTTGTATGGTTTTTAAATGAAATTTTGCATTCAAAAACCTTTTTCTGGCCCACATATTACCGGTAGCATTTTATTCTTGAACTGAGTTGCATTTGCTGCACTTTTATCAGAAAATCTTGCTTGATACTGATGAAATCTGCGCAATGTGATGGATTATAGGAGGCAGTAAGTTCAAAAGTTAAACGTATATTATTGAATTTCCATGAAATCATGCTGGTATATATTGGTGTATTTATTGAAACACCCTAATGTCCACCGGATAAAGCGGGTGGCGCAACTTCAAGAAAGGGAAATGACATATAATAATACATTTATTATTATTGCTGGTTTCGTAAAACATCGTCGAATGTAAGTTACATAGTAAAATGATGTCGTGTTTATTCACGGATTTGTCAGTATGTAAATTTATGGTGATATCAGCTTGATATACAAAAAAGAAGAGTAAACAACATTGACTGCCGACTTCATAACTGTACATTGTCTTTTGGTACTCCTAAGAGTACTTCTTTTGTATACTCCACGCCTCTTCTTATCCGTTATATTTTGTTCTGTGTGTCTGTACTGTCTTTTGGTTGAAGTTCTGTTCTATGCATAAAATAACTGTTGTTCAACTAATATGGTTACTAAATAGCAAGATATTTGAGCTTATATTCGTATAAACCCTGGGAAATTTATCTTTTTCGGGAGATTCTGGGGTTACCTGACTACTAAACACATACAAGTTCTGTATTCTACTTCCTGGTAAAACAAACAAAAATATTTCTAGATGCATTCTAAAAGACTTTCTAGGATTAAAAACGACTGAGAACAAAAAATTTTCTTTTCAACAGTTAACTAAATCCAGCTTCTTCAGAAATGTATCACAAATAGACTTTCAGTGAAACGCTAGTTACATAGAAATCACAGAAGTTAACGAATTTCTCATTGGATGGATTTGTTCTCTAAGGTACAGGGAATGCCAGATGTCATTTGTATGAAGACTAATTAAAGTTTTCAAACTTCTTGGGTGATTTATTTAGTAAATCGTGGCTGATTGTAAAATATGGATTAGACGAAAGAACTAGAAGAAATTTCACAATGCCACCATCAACCTAGTACTCAGAGAGTTGTCTCCAAAAATACTCGTAATGCATTCAGAATGAAGCTTACGTCAGCAGATGAAGATGATCCTTTTCAAATGTAAGTAGTGAGGATGCCCACAGATACTACCAGGACTTAGAAATTTGATGTGGAGTTGCTAATATTTGACTTTGACAAGTCTCCATTCTAGTATTTTTGAACAGGGAGTAAAACTTTTGGCTTTCCACCTCAGAATTGATATCTTTAATGGCTATTTTTCAGTCTGTTCATAAGAAATTATCTAAATGTTTAATTTTCTTCAGATGTCATAAGTATCAAGGAAGAGCACAACTCATGTTTTCGGTATTCCTTTCACTCTAGTTTGGGAGTCATCGGCAGTACGCACCCACTGTGGTTCGAACCCAGGACCTTCCGATTATAAAGGAATGTCGCATATAAGCCACTGGGAAACCAATACGATGGGTCATGAATTCTAACATCTTCCAATGCGTGATTTTAGCGCGACCACTAACTAATGTCATCAGTGGGAAATCCATCCTCACTACCTGGTTTTCAATGGTTATGCAGCTGATATCAATCCGTGGTCAATATCGAAAAACAAATCTAATCATTGCAAACCAACTCTTGGAAATGTCTTTCATCGTGGTTGTACCTTGTATGTAAATGAGAGATCAAGCTTAAGCTACTAATAATTTGATTGTCGTCTACCCACGAGATAAAGCAGATGGCGCCACTTCGATAAAGGGATATGTCATATAATCGCCCCCGTATGCCTTGGTAGCTCACTTCATATTTAGTAGAATAAAAAACAGACACATGTTCATGTCATTTTCAATGTCCGTAGAAAAAAATTTTTTATCATAAAAAAGTGTATACACGTACATGTCTGCCAACTCGTTTGTAAACAACCAATCAGGAAGCTAACAAGTTTATTGTTGGTATTTTATTGGCTAGATATTTTCTACTTTACTGTTAAATAGATGGATTCGCTTCTCATGTAGGTTAGCACAAATATGGCTGGCGATTCTGGTTCAGGACGTGTTATACTGATCCCTATTGATGGCAGTGAACACTGCGAACGGGCATTTCGTTGGTATCTGGACAATATGAAACGAGAAACTGACTGCATAAAGTTTGTCCATGTAATCGAACCAGTTTATAATACTCCTGCCATTGGACTGACAATGGAATCTCCTCCAGTACCTGATATGACTCGCGTTATGGAAGAAAGCATTGATGCAGGTAAAAAGCTTGGACAGAAGTACATGCACGAAGCCAAAGCCCATAAACTTACTGCTCAAGCGTTTTTACACGTGGACACTAAGCCTGGAAGTTCTCTTGTGAAAGCTATTTCGGATCACAAAGCAAGTGTTATTCTGATGGGTAATCGTGGTGTCGGGGCTATTCGTCGTACATTCTTGGGAAGTGTCAGTGACTATATTCTTCATCATGCTCACATTCCTGTAATTATTGTCCCACCTCCAGAAAAGCATTAACGTAACTGCTGTCATGGTAATAACTGCTCTATTTCACAGCTAGAAATTGTAAGTCGCTGTTGAATCATTTTATTACAAGAACTATTGTATCTGATTATCCAATATTTGTTTCCGTCAAATTCACAGAATAAAAACCTACTTATCTCTTTGAAGTTTCTCAATTTGTATTTAATACTATAAGTTGGGTTGTTTCACGAGTCTTGTGTACTTGTTTAGTTAACATTGCATCATGAATTGAACAACACCCTTTAGACGTTAGAAATTAAAGAGTCTGAATATGACTCATACTGGAGTAGAATTAGTTGTTTCTGTTTTCACAAGCACCAGTCCATGAAACTTTTGAGTATTGGTTTGGGTCACATGGAAAGATGTAGACTGTCTGACTGGTTTCCTTGGTATGTTAAGAATTAAGTATTAGGACTGTTTGTCATAGCTCAACATCAATGATACTGGCACAGGTGCATGTACTCTTTATGATCTTACAACTCCATTAAATTCTCATTCTCCATGTAATTATTTTTTCTTTTGTACATTTATGCTTATTGTTGTTTCATTGCATTTCTTTTCTTCACCTACATGTGTGCTTTTGTGAATTGCAGTAACTTGAACTGCTGCATTTCCGGGGCAGATTTCATGTTAATACCTCAGTTAGGCTCTTATCCAGAGATTATTTGGTTATAAGAAATGATTATTTCTTCTGATTTAAGATATTTATTTGTCTTAGTTTAGACTGGAATGCATTTGTTTTAAAACAAGTTTACAATTTACTGGTACTCAAATAAAACATCTTTGACTTCTTAGGTTGTTGTTTTTCAAAAAGTTTTAAGTTTTCTGTTAATTTGTGCTAGACGACGAAAGTACTAGAGAAACCGTTGACACTGTCTTCTAGGTACCATCTTAGTTAAACATCCTTAGTTATCATTTCTTCTTTTCAGAACGACTGAGAGAGGAAAAGCCATGTAATTGGTCATGAATGTAAGTTTTTGTACGTCAGGGGATCAGTCTTGTGTATGCTTTAGGGAAACGGTTTAATGAGATCAATTTCTCTCTTTTGTTAAAATGCTTCACAGTTTGAACTTAAATATAGGACAGATTCGGCATCATTTAGTTTATCTATACGAAATTATGCTTGTACATTTCCTCGATCACGCGTTGGAATTAGTATGGCTAAATACCATCCGCTATTTGGTGACATTCATATTAAGCCAAAGCCACGTACTGGTTTTTCTGCACTTTATTTTTTACAGTATATGTGAAAGTTAATCATAGTTCAGGTTTCACTAGATATGTCAGGTAAACTGGAGATGTATTCGTTACTTAGAGTTTACACCTTGTAACTCACGAGTCTTTCCATAGCAGTAGGAATATGTTACAAAATCGTCAGGTGACATGAATATTCCACCTTTTGTCTTATTTATACAGTGATACTATTGCGAATAAGCTGAGTGTGTAGTACAAACGTCATGTGTAAATTTTAGTGAACTTATCATTTTCGTTTCATAAATGTGTAGTCTTCAAAGTACTTTCGTTTATTTACTATTCCAATGGTCTGAATTTCACTGTTGGGATTAAACTAAATGTGAACAGTTGTTTCAGTTAACATTACTCACTGTTTTGTGGTTTTCTGTGCTGTCACAGTATAGAACTTGCATGATAAAGTGCTACTTTCCATTACGTCGTGTTTAGGCCAGCTTTTCGAATTTTTAAAGTGAGCCACTCATTGACTGCTGTATTTTAACACCCAGTTCAAAGAGGAATTTTATAGTCTTTTTTGGGAATACTGGAAAATTTCCAATGAATAGGGCCTTAACATCTTCAAGTTTATTTTCTTTGCTTTTTATTTTTTTTTTTATTAATCTTTGCATTATTTTTATTCTTGTCTACATTGCTAAGTAACTCTTTGATTTGCCTATTCATTTGTTAAACAATCACCAGATGTTTAATTTAAGTTGACATGAGCATATTCGGATTTACTGGGATAGAGGTCTGAATCAATTACAGGAGTGAAAGTCTGTTCCCTTTGTATCCCTGTATGAATTTTACAATGAATACTACGATGCTGCTTTTTAATTCATTTCATTTTCAGTGTACTGACTTTTTCTGATATTTTGTGTCTGTCGAACATATTACAATACTGTAGTATAAGAGCGATTTAGTCAAAGGTGTTAGACAGTAGGCTTAATACTGAAAAAGACTGGATTATAAATTGCTTAGAAAAAAGATTTTAATTACAAAATATATTGAAGTAGAGGAAATAAACTGCTCGTGGTTTTCAACAAATATCCATAAAGTTTCATCGAATAAATTGTGTGATTGCTGATTTCAATTATTTGCATACAGCTATATTTAGCCTTTTAGCTTTTACATAATGAATCGATTGCACTATTGTTAGTGATTGAAGGACCTGAGAAAGTTGTCGTTTCAGGCAAGTAATTAACATCAATATAACATTTGTTTAAACTATTGATTACTGATATTATTAGTCAGTCGTCAAAACATCAGACAACAAGTAAATTGAGTGCATAAAACAGCCTAAAAACAATTTTTCATTCGGAAATTATTGTTGTTTACTGAAACTAATAATGTTAAAGAAGACATAAAAATGTGTGAGTTATAGAGACCAATGTCAGATTGCAATTGTTAAAACCGTGTCCACAATTGCCCAATTGCCCATTTCCTCCTTGTTACTTGTCGTCTCCCCGTCAGGTTTAACTGTATGCAGTAGTTGGTGTGCGTTGTTAATCAACTGTCTTCTCAGCGTGTATCCTATCCATCTCCATTTCTTTCGGCATATTTGTTAGGCAAAATGTTCGTGGCTGTTGTTATTCCTACCTGGTCATCTGATCTTCATTAAGAAGCCAACGATGGCAGCTGTTGATAAAAGTATTCAACAGCATGTCAGAGTGCTTTTCGTAACGCGCCATTGAAGTCTTCTCACCATATAGAAGAACTGGTTTCATATTAGTGTGTGAAACCCGAATCCTGTTCCTTTCGCATAGCGTAGAGTATTTCCATACTGATATCAGATTAATTTCCAAATTCCTATTTATAAAAAAACAGCTCCTTCTAATCAGCTCTACACTAACATATCGTTTCTTACATGAAAACTTTTACTAATCAAGTGGTTACTTTAGTTAATCATTTTTAGGTATAGGTGGGGTGAAATTAAGAGGTTAAAAGTCATCAAAACAATTAACTAATAGATGTTAGTAACAAGATATCTAAGTTTTGAAAAAGGGGTGGGAATTAACTACCGAATTCAAGATAAGTTAGTGCGTAGGCGCTAGCACGAATTTATTACATAATCAAGAAATTTGTTAAATAGCAGTGATGACTGAGAAGAATAAGATGACTCAGAAAAATTACGTATAATACACATAATTTAACAGAATTAGCTAAAATCGTAAAAATAAATAAATAGATAGATACAAGGAGAGCGGATAAAATTATTTTGAAAACTTAATACATATTATATAGTTGGCCATGGCAAAGAAAGTGGCTGAACAAACAGATTTGACTTGTTTAGATGAATTCCGACTGCCTCTGCTGCATGCACAAGTCGCACTCGTAGACCATGCGAGAGGTTGAGTGAAATACGATAAATAACATTAAAAGCTTTGTTGGAATCGACTTGATGTCCAGTCAGTATCGACGAGATGAGCTAGTATTGAGCTGTGTGTAGCTTTATTGTGACTTTTGCCAAAACAAGATTGCAGGTGTTCAGAAATTCGACGATGAACTTATCTCATCTTACACTGAATGTAACTAGCTCCGCACAAGCGGTTAGACTGGTAAATACACATGGAAGAGGCAAAACAAGACAGTTTGTCTTTATTTTCTGAACTAAGTATTGGTTGGCTAGTGAGCATACAGCATAGATTTCAAGGTGTGTTGTTCACAAAATGGAAATTTTCTCCATAAAAGCAGATAAAGAATTACAACTGATATATATATATATATATATATATATATATAGAGAGAGAGAGAGAGAGAGAGAGAGGTTAATTAGGTTATTTGACAAAAAAAGTAGGTTTTTATCCAAAAATATGATCAAGATCTGAAAAGTAGTTAATTTTCAGGAAAGGCCATTAAATCGTGCAACACAAGATGTTTACTGGAAAGTTATATTCATAGATGTTGGAGTATTAAATCTTATCTATGCATGGGTGATCACAATAATCCTCTTGGGAATATTTCTTTTTTATACTTATGAAGCTGTTTCCAAGAAAATTCACTAAACGTCTGAATGTGTTGAAAAAAGATTAGTAACCTCGTTCGTTATTTTTAACACTAAATGAATATGTAATCAGCTTAGAGAGTGGGAATGAATTGGTCGATTTATCTATGAATCATTTATTCAATTTCACTTTGAGCTACTAAATGTAATTTTGAATTATGAAAGGTCTAACTGCAAGAAATTCATGAAAATATTTTGATCAGTCTGATATACCAAATTTAAAAAACATTCTAATGTAGAGATCCCTGGGAGTATCTGGTAGATTTTTGAAATGAATCCCCGACACCCTTTTATATGGCATATTTTCTAAAATTTATAATACTCATAAATAACCTTCATCAGCCTTCTTCCATGTTTCTTTTTTATCTGTACTTATTGTATTGCACTAGTGAAATAGACGTCAGTCATTGTCATTGTTGATAAGCCACTAATCAAATATTGAACGTGTAAAATATTTTTCAAATTCGAATCATGGACTAGACTAGTAACAGTAAAACTGAAAAGTTTTGAATTCGATTGTAAAAAGAATAGAAAATATATGCTCATGAACATTCGAAGTGGTATTTATTGTTATGAAAACAAAACCTCGGTGCACTGTAAGCACCAAGATATGCATCACACAAAACCTCAAATTTTTTGGGAGGGCTAGGATACTACCAGGATATCCATCCCGAAGTGGGCGTTTACCTTCAGGGGCAACCCTTCGAGCCTTTGACTTGAAGTCTGATCTATAACGCAGTTCAACAGTGTCAGAAGCCGTGTT